AAAAAAAAAACAACCCATGTCCGATGCAGATTTTTCACAAAAATGGACCATAGCAAGAAAATCATACCTGAGAAAAACATTAGCCACACGCAACTCAAGCCAACATAAGAGGTCTCATATGTGCGATGACAGCCTGCCGAAAGTGCTCGAGCGAGAAGCAAAGCTGCCGAATAAATAGCCTCTCATTTTTCCTCGGCCTTTTCAAGTAAAGCTTCCTCCTCTCTGCCGATTCCCTCTTAGCTACCCCACATCAGCATCGGCCATCAGGTTGGTGGCTGAATGTGCAGCTGACAGGTGCTCCCTCATGTCGCCAGCCTGAGCATCATCAAGCTCCGTCTTCACAGCCATTTAGCGTCTCGTGTACCAGCTTGTCTTGGTGGTGCTGGTACTGGCCTCATGATCCTTAGCCTGGTCCCAGGCTTGGGCTTTGGCTTTTGCCTTGGCCTGGGCTTTTTTGGCCCTTTCTTACCACATTAGCACTTTCTTTATCTTGCTCTTGGTCTAGCTTTGCAATCTTCGTGGCATGTTTGGCTTCCTCCCTTCCTTTTGCCCGGAATGTCTTTGAGCAGTCCATGCGACGCGCTTGAATTGCTTGATATTTGGGAATCTCAATTGTAATCTTGCATGCATTTGAAAGTTACCATCTATAGAAAAAATAAAGAAATCAAATGCGACAAATGCAAGATCACAATAGAGATTCCCAAAGATCAAGCAATTCAAGCGCATCGGATGGACTGCTCAAAGGCATTCCAAGCAAAAAGAAGGGAGGAAGCCAGACGGGCCACGAAAATTACAAAGCTAGCCCAATAGCAAGATAAAGAAAGGGCTAATGAGGTAAAAGAAAGGGCTAAAAAAGCCCAGGCCTGGGCCTAGGCACAGGCAAAAGCCAAGGCTTAAGAGCGAGCCCAAGCCTGGGACCAGGCTGAGGACCATGAGACCAGCACCAGCACCAGCACCACCACCACTTGAGACTATTTGGTATGCAATTTTAAGACTACCTTAAAATGCAAACGTAAGACTATTTTGGTTTGCAAGTATGATTTGGCATGCTATGATTCTATTTGCAATTATGTGCTGCTGCGATTACTTAAGACTATTGATATGCAAAATTAAGATTGTGATTTGCAATTATATGTTGGATGTGATTACTTAAGTCTGTTTGGGTGTGGTCTTGCATGATGTGAACTCCTATGACTATGTGTTGTGTTGGTGTGACTTTTGCATGATTGGTTGTGGTGCTTTATGATAACTCCTATCATCGTATCATTGTGTTGGGTGTTTGAATTGGTATGGAAACTTGGCAAGAGTGAAACAGGAAAATGAGTAAATTTAATTTTGCAACCCTGATTGTGCATAGGGTTTTTTTTTTTTTTTTTCGATATTGTGATTGTGAAAGGAGAGGGAATGGAAAATTTCAGAACATATAGAATATCATTGGCCTCCTCCTCAGCTATACCTTCACTATCTCAGCTTTTCCTGGCCTCCTATTCAAACGTTCTACATATCTCAATTTGCCTCCTCGTCTTGCAGAAGAGCCTAGCAGATCAACAATAAACACAAAGCACCACAACATATCAAATTGACAAATCTAATATACCTTCAGTAAGTTGAACAAAGAAATCACAAAGAAATCACAGTAAAAAAAATTCCAAATTTGAATCAATCCTAACCCAGAAAACTAAACACTGATTAAAATAAACAGATTAAAATGTGGTGTGTGGATTTCAACTCTTATTCAAGCATAAAAATCAAAACTTTAACCGAAAGAACAGAGATGGAATAAAATTGAAACTCAAACAGATTCAAATGCATCTAAATTAACCAAATACGAATCTCTTTAATAATTTTAACTAACAGATAAAAGAAAGTGTGTTTAGCAAGTAGACTAATAGCTTTTTCGTTCTCTCAAAAACAACAAAAACCATTCAAGTCCACAACAAAACCCTGCATCAACAACACTTCCGAAACTCGAAAGGCCCACAAAAAAGAAAAAAATAAACAGAAAAAAACGACCCATGTCCGATGCAGATTTTTCACAAAATGACCATAGCAAGAAAATCATACCTGGGAAAAACATTAGCCACAGGCAACTCAAGCCAACATATATAAGAGGTCTCATATGTGCGATGACTGCCTGCCGAAGCTCGTAGTACCCCGTGCGGTAGTGCTCGAGCGAGAAGCAAATCTGCCGAATAAATAGCCTCTCATTTTTCCTCAGCCTTTTCAAGTAAAGCTTCCTCCTCTCTGCCGACTCCCTATTAGCTACCCCACTCTCGACCTCAAATCCTCAGCTGACTCGTGCCACATCAGCATCGGTCATCAGCTTGGTGTGCTGAATGTGCATTCAGGTGCTCCCTCATGTCGCCAGCCTGAGCATCATCAAGCTCTGTCTTCACAGCCATTTAGCATCTCGTGTTTCATCCTCACTTCTTCCAGTAGCTCTTCTCGCTTAGTAATCTGGGTCTTCATTACTTTGATCTGAATCCCTAACGAGACCTATGTCTCGCTTCCTCCTCCAGTGACTTGCACCGTAAATCGAATTCCTTCAGATTTTTCCTTCTTTTGCAAGTTTCGTAAACTCAGATTTCAACCGCTCGTTTTCTTTGCATAAAGTTTTGTTCGCCTCCTAAAGCCCCGGATTTACTGATCCCCATTCGGTCAGGTTTTTATGTACCTCGCCATACGATCCTGCAGCTTGGTTGCCTAGCGTTTCTCCCTCTCGGGCTTTTTTTTACAGATGGAAACCTCGTTTGGGCAAATTTGCGCTGCTCCTGCAGGCTCTGCAGTTGCCTGTTAGTCCTTTCTTTCTTTAAGCTCGCCACTTCCGCTTCCAGCTCACAAGCTTTTCTCCTGATTCCAAACATTTGGTCATTTGGTGCTTTCTCGAAGACCTTAACCTCCTGATTCCGAACATTTGGTGCTTCCCGTTCTTTGGCGAGTTTCGTCATCTCCGATTTCAACCGCTCGTTTTCTTAGGATAAAGTTTTCTTCACCTCCTGAAGCCCTAGATTTCCTGATCCCTTTCGGTCAGGTTTTTTATGTACCCGTCATACAGTCCTGCAGCTTGGTGACCTAGCGTTTCTCCCTCTCGAGCTTGTTTTTTCAGATGGAAACGTCCTTTTGGGCCAATTTGAGCTGCTCCTGCAGGCTCTGCACGGCCGGCCCCTTGCCTGCGAGTACTTTCTTCAAGCTCGCCACTTCCGCTTCCAGCTCACGGAGCTTTTCTCCTGATTCCGAACATTTGGTGCTTTCTCGAAAATCTATACTTTCTTCAAGCTCGCCACTTCCGCTTCCAGCTCACGGAGCTTTTCTCATTCACAGTGTCTGAAAATCTATACTTTTGATGCTCTGCCATCAGCCTGGCAAATCGACAGATCTAAATATCAGGAAGTTGAATATAGAATTCACAAATTCAAAATATGAATCAATCAATCATAACCCAAAAAACTAAACACTGATCAAAATAATGATAAAAAAAGACCCATTTCTCAGAAGAGAACACTTAATAATTCATAAAAAAAAAAAAAAANNNNAAAAAAAAAAAAAGATGAAGTTAGAACCAATAGACTGAAGAAATGACGAAAAATAAAAATAAAAATTGCGGAGGATGTGGATTTCAACTCCTATTTAAGAAAGATCAAATTTTTAATTAACATAACCTCAGATATGAATAAACAGAACTCTTAATTGATTAAAAGAAATGAAATATTCCAAGAAATTATATGAAAAGTAACCAAAAGGAAAGATAAAGCCTTTAATCAGGTTGCTCAATTGAGTTGTTATTTGTTAATTTTTGATGTAATAGAGTGAGGGATACAGGATCCTTACCAAGTTACCCGATAATATCCGGCAAAAAATCCATATCCAATTGGCCGGTAATCTCCCGACGGCGGCGGCCGCGGCCGATCGGGGTATTGGGTAGAGGATACGTCCAATTTTCCGGTAATATCGGCCGAAAATCCAAAACAATTGGCCGGCAATTGCCCGGTGGCGGCGGCTGCAGATCGGGGTATGGGGTAGGGGGGAGAGGAGTGGACAGGGAAAGACTTTCTCTACAAAATTCGGATTCTACAGTTGGGCTGGTATTGTTGGGCTTATTATGTAGTGATGTCATGGGCCGACTTGTTTGGTAAATTAAGGGACTGTTTGTTGGGCCTCAGAAAAACAACTGATCGATTAGGCTTAATCATTGTTTATACAAGGAATGGTCTCCTATCTGAAACCATATCCACTCACCCACATTGTAGTTACTGTCTCTTCCCTCTCTCACCTACCCAATAGGCCAATACCCCTATCTGCCGCCGCCGCCGCCGCCGCCGCCGCTCAATTACTGGCCACTTGAATATGGATTTTTGCCGGAAATTATCGGCCAATTTGGCACGGATCCTCTACCCAATCCGCCGATC